CACTCGATCATGTGTAGTGAAGCACATGCGTGGGTTGCCATGTATGTACATACGACATGCTGTAAACATGCCAGGACCACTTGAGCTTGCCAATCGGCTAGCCCATTTTTCCGGCATCCCGGGTTCACGGCCCACAAGTGATCAACCTGCATGCAATACACAGCGCTAGTTAAAGCTATAATATAGCTATACGTGGCAGGCACTAGCTCAATGCATGCATGTACTCCGTGCAAGACCTTTTGCTCACAGCCCCGGCTCAGTCGATTCCGCTAGATCAGATCGTAATTACCATGTTCAACGCTGCATGGTTCATGCAAGCATGTACGCACAATGCCAAAAGCACGTGGTGAAGAACACGCGCAGGCATGAGATTAGCAACTTTCAGCAGCTAAACGTGTGAAAACTTGTCCAGCTTCAAGTCCGCTTGGACATTGTCTGCAATGGCCCATGTTGCAGCAAGCCAGCTAATCCATAGATTTGTAAGCCTCGGAAACTAGCTATAGTGGCGTGCAAGCACGTACATGTGCATGAAAATGCATGTGCAGGATTGCATGTGTATCTGCGCAGTAATGCTGACAGGGTGCAGCGCGTGCCTGCTCTTTGCACTGATCCTCAGGAAACCCCATGCCTTCGGCCCTGGCATATGCCTCATGGTAGGCGATGGACTTGCGGCTTTTTTTCAGTCTTGCTGCCTCCTTGACTGGGTCATCCAAAGGCTGTCCACGGCTTCGCTTGGGCCTCTCTGAGATCTCAGCAGGCTGGGTTCGGGGTCTGGCCGCAGTGGATTTGGCCTTTGCCTGCGCCGTTGCTTTTGCCTTTGCTTTTGCTTTTGCTTTTGCTTGTGCCTTTGCTTTTGCCTTAGGCTTGCCTTCGGGGCTGGCGTGGCTGGGCTTGGAGGTGGGCTTGCTTGCCTTCGCAGTGGGCTTTCGATTGGTGCTGGGCTTCGCTTGGGTGTCGTCTTCATTGGCATCTTGGTTTTGGGGGTCGGCGCATCTCTTGCTCTTCTTCTTCTTCTGCACCGCATCAGGCTCGGCATGCCGTGCTCTCTTTTGCTTGATCTTGTCGCGGCCCCTGGAAAGACGCTTCTTCTTCTCCTGGGTCTTTTTGGTCACCTTCTTCTTTTTGCATTTCCTCTGCGGCTCAGCTTGCTGATCACCATGAGCATCACAACCAGCATTTTCCATGACCCCACCCGCAGGATCCACGGAAGAACTGAGAGCATCCCAGCCCTCTGGCTGCCGAATCTCCACGAAATCGTGACCTTTCTTGCATGCCATGTCATGCTTGGCCTTGTCCACCCAATCGGCCTTCCGCTCACACACGCCCGAGGTCTGCACATGGCCAGAGCGTTCTCTCATGCTTGCCAACCATTGCCCAGTGAGGCCCAGATTTGCTTTGGCAACTTCTGGAATGGCTGGGATCTCATCAGCAGGCGGTCCCGAAAGGGCAGCCTGTTCGACATCCATCATGGCATCATGATGCTCGCCCACCCCAACGCTCGCAGCTTCAGGAAGTTCCCGGGGTTGGTCGTTCACAGCCACCAAACCTTCGCCTACAGCATGCCCAGTCATGTCGGTGGAGGACATGAGGCAAGGGGGGAGCTCCTGCTCATGATGTGGAAATAGCATGCTGTGCAGGCACGGTTGCACATGTGCGCAAAAATGCTGCCTCAGCCTCTTATATGGTTACACGTACATGTACGGATATGTACGTAGATACGTACATGCCACAAGTACGCACCAAGACACGCCTACCCTGCGCGATTGTAGACATGATCACGACGTACATGCATGGTCTGTAGAAGTGAAGGCATGCGCTCTTGAGAGAACCTAGGTATGTCCTCGACATCCTCCACCACCTGTGTCTCTATGACCTGCGTCTCCATGGTGTCAGTGCCTTAGATTGCAAAAGACATGCACCCTATATAGAATATATGCCTACAACATGATGCATGCGTATGCTAGCACACAATTAAATTTTTGGCATGACACCATATACCCATTCAGGGCTGGAAGTAGCAGAGGGCTCGTACGTAACCTCCATGTCTTCAGACTTGAGATGCTGCAGCTTGCGTAGCTTCTGCAGAGATTGCAGCACGGTCAGGAGTTTCATCAGCTTCTGCAGCTTCGAGACCCGCTCAGCCTGCAGAAGGTATATATATATATAATTATACACGGTGCCGAGCAGGCAACATGCATTCCGATCCTTGTCACACGGCGGCGTAACTTGCAAAGATGGCAGCATGCCTAGAGCTCAATCATTCACACACGTACATACATACATGCATGCAATGCATCATACAGATGCGTCATTGATATCACTTGCAAGGTTGCTGGGTGGAGGGGTAGCCACCGGAGAACTCCCTGCACTCTCCGTGGGCGCTTCGGAATCAGGCAGAGGGGACACTGCAGCAGGAGAAGTCCCTGCACTCTCATGGATCACATCGGCCACAGCAACCATGGGAGTCACTGCAGCACTGCCACCAGGAACTTCCTTACTATGCCATGAAAATTGCAGGCCACAGAGGAGCTAGAAGTTTAAATTGAATCTAGTTGCCGGCGAGCTTCAGATAAGCCATTGCCAGAAACACTCGGTGAGCAGGAAGCAGGCAGCAAGCCTACAGCATCTACCGCCTCAATGCAAGAGCATTGGACATTCGAAGCATGAAATACACATGAACATGCACATTATTGCTATGCCCATGCATGTGCTCTGCAGTAGAGGTTCCATGGGGTTCATCTCTGGAACATCACACATGACAGGGTCCAGCTGCGTGTCGTTCCCAAGGTCCAAAGGGTGTGGGGCAACCGCATGCCCTGTCATGCAAAGCAATGCAGTGTCAGCAAACAGATGCACAGGCGCAGGCAAACAAGCACAAACACATATGGATCCGATATGCGTGCATGCAGAGATTTGCACACATTCACACGCACACACCCACACACACAAAGGCCCACACACACAGAACAAACACACACACACACACACACAGACACACAAACACAGACACACACACACACACTCGCTTGCATGCACTTTCCACATGCTCAATCAAGCCTGCACCGGCACCAGCATCTTCAGGAACAACCAGTTCATCGTCTGTCAAAGTCGCTTCCTCCTCACCCTCACCCTCAGCATCGGATTGCGAGTCGCCCGCAGCTGGCTGGCGCTCCCTTCTCTCCTGCTCGGGCACAGAAAATCCCAGAGCTAGCATTATATCCCGGATGCCAGCATCACGAGGTCTGTGCCCGCGACGCAGCATGTCATTGAACACAGTCAACATCCGCTTGACTCCCCAAGCATGTCGATTTACGAACGCACCTGCACATGATCGATATGCAGGTTGCACAGACATGAGGCATGCCGGCAAAAAAAACAAAATGCATGCAGTATGCATAAGCCTAGGCACTGGTAATGCCATGGCTGATGTTCAAGAGATCAAAGAAGCTCTTGACATGGACTTCCATGGTGTCAATGCTGATGCGGTGTGAGACATGCTTGTATGCCATCTTAAGGATGTGAGGGTTGGACATGATGGTCTCTTTGGTCACCCGTTGCCCTGTGAAGATAACCTGGGCTCCACGATCGTGTATGCAGTACACATGCTCACTTCATCATGGCGCAACATGAGCTATGCATGCAGGAATCGAAAACCAAACGATGTGCACGACGACGAACTGCTGGGTCCTGCTCCCACGCCCTTGCCAAATCCGTAGAGGATATCTCTTCATCCACATCATCAATAGGCGCCAAAGCCAAGCTGGACGACATGGCTGCTGGCTGCAAGCACGAGCTTAGTAGCTGTGTTAGGATTGGCTTGCCTGCCTTATCGAAATCATGCAAGGTAGCTACATTCACCAGCTGGTTCCAATGCATAGCCCACATATATGTACCATGCCTGACCATATGTCGACGATCTAGTGCACATATATGTAACATGCCCGACCACATGTCTGTGCACATGTACGCGGACTTGAAAGCCACATGAAATCATGCAGAATATGCGTAGTGCATCTCAAAACAGTTCAGCTGCTTCCATGTGGCCTCCACAAAGATCCAACACAGCACCTGCATGCAGCCCACTGGCAGCAAAACAAATTCAGCGGGCTGTGTACATCGATCCAAATTACCTTGCCTTCAGGAACATAAACAGCAGCTGCGCCATGGCGAACCCCATGCATGCACATACGTATATGTTAACAGGCTCAGAAACATGCAACCAACTCTCTACCCATGCAGTCTGTGCATGACATGCACAACATATGTATGATAGCCCACTGAATCAGTCCTGTACCTACTTATATGCACAAAGCTCTTTGCGCCAATGCACCGAGCAAGGACTCAAAGATGTCGGCACATGCTGACATGAAGCCATGTGTGCAGTACAGTATGGATCCTACAGGAGTGTACCATGATATACACTTAAACCTCGTGACTCTGAATGCGTGACGACATGCATGACCCATGCCATGCATGTTCCATGCCATGCATGAACCATGCAAACTGCCATGCTAAACAACTTGAAAAACATGCAAGTAAAGAAATCACATGAAAGTTATTGAAAAAACGATTTGCAGTCAAACACGTCAAATTAAACAAATTAACCTTTTTGCGTGTAAACTGCGGGTATTTTAAGTCAACCACAAGTTCTACGGAAAATTCTTCGGAGAACGGTGGTCCAGGAATAGTCCTACAATGCAAGACCTAAACCCCGAACCGACAATCCGATCCTAAAGACCCTGTAGCTGTCCAAAAGTGACCAACCTCCATATTTAGTATTCCTAGAACCCTCACCCCTAAACCCTAAAACCTACACCCCAAATCATCCGAAACCCTCCAAAACCCTCCTGAACCCTAAACCCTGACCCCAATTAAACCCTAAACCCTAAACCCTAAGACCCTAAGACCCTAAGACCCTAAGACCCTAAACCCTTCAAAACCTTACAAGGGACGAGGCACATGTACCGCCTGAAGTGGATGCCGCGGAAAGCGTAGGGCGCCTTTTCGACCTCGGCAGCGGGTGCACATCGATATTCGCAACTTGTAAGCTTTGAGAAACTTAGGGTTTAGGGTTTAGGGGTTTGGGGTTTAGGGTTTAGGGTTTAGGGCTTAGGGTCTACCACAAATCGAATCCATAGCTAACAAAAGTCTAAACGCCAGAGCCTCCCCACCCCCAGCTCGCAAATCCACAAGCAACTTTCTTTGCGAGTGGCCAAGTAGGGCGGATAGAAGTACCACCAGAGTTTCTGACCACCTCGACAAGACAAAAGGTTTCGAGTTGCATGCGAGCTGCTTAACGCGAAGGCTTAGAGTTCAGGGGGGTTGGGGTTTAGGGTTCAGGGTTTCGGGTTCGGGGTTTAGGGCTTGGGTATAGCAGAACCCCTAAACCCCTGTGTGGGGGAGGGCCCGCCCCAAACCCCAAAGGCTCATGCCTGCACTGGAGGGCTCCGATTGCGGGGCCGAGGCGGGTCCAAACATTGCACCCAGATCCCTAATTAATTGCAGGGGATTGGGACGGTTCTTATTTCATTTATACGGACAATAAGACCCAGAACGCTTGGCTGCACTCAGGAGGGTACTGTAGCTATCAATTAAACTTTTAGCTGCCTTATTCAGAAACCCAATGAACCCAAAAAGGGTAAGGATCTAAAGTTACGGAAAAGCACCACAAAGAACTGGTCTTGGTAGGCTTGCGGAGCTAGTCTCTGGATTGTGGCATTGAGGGTTGGGGGCTTGAGGCTTCTAGGGCTTCACGTATAGGATGTGGCGGACCGCAGACTCTTCTACCAGTGGGGTCAAGGTAAGCTGTCTCAACGCCTCCTGCAGCCATACCTCCTTTCTGAAAGGCCGCCTACACTGAAGAGCTTGCATAGGATCCCCACCTAAACCCTAACCCCCAAACCCAGCTCTATACAGACAAGTTCGCCAGCACAAGCAAGACCGGCTCCTCGAACAATCCCCGGACCATTTAAATAGGGCCAATGTCGATGGACTGTTCAGGGGGGACGGGGGGTGGTAGCAGATCCAAGCAGGGTCCAACCGTAAGCAGCCTACCTTGGAGTCTATTTACCTACAGTTTTGTAGCAACTACCCTTAATTAGTAGGTATGACCCATAAAACTGTAGGCAAACGAAGCCCCAGCTTGCCTGGGTGGGCCAGGTCCTCGAGTGACAAGAACTCCTCCAAGCTGATCACATCGAAGCGTTCCTGGCCACTCCTCTTCTACGAGTTGTACGGATTTAATCCTGAAACCCTCAACCCTCAACCCTAAACCCTAAACCCTAAGCCCTAAACCCTAAACCCTAAACCCTAGACCCTAAACCCTAAACCCTAACCCCCAAAGGACACAACGCCACAACATGCGAAGGAAGCTTGCTGCAAAAAGAACGCACCGCTGGACCCTAAGCCCTACATGACACTCTAAAGCTATAAGGTCTGCCTTCAAGTGCTCCAGGTCAAAGAAATGCTCGAAGGGAAACCACCGCTGCGACCTCGTCTATAGCGTTCAGGGTTTAGGGTTCAGGGATTGGGGTTGTTTTGGGAGGGGTTCAGGGTGTCAGGGAGGCTTAGGAGTTTGGGGCTTTCGGTGGGGGGGGGGGGGGGGGGGGGGGGGGGGGGGGGGGGGGGGGGGGGGGGGGGTCAGAATGGGTTTAGGGTGGAAGGGCTTGAGGGTTCAGGATGTATAGTGACTTGGGGATCAAGTGTATTTAAGGTTAGTCATCAAAGAAATGCTACAAAAAGAGAATTCAGACAACACCGCAAATAGTACTAGACCCAAGAGTAACCTAGGAATAAAAGGGTCCAATTTGCTGCTTTAGATGGGTTTCTAAGGGAACCTAAACCCCTCCCCCCGGCCCCGAGAAAAAAAAGGAATCAGGGCCTACTCCGGGTCCTAGAGTAAGAAAAATGGATGAAGAGGGTCTGGCTCTGGGCTACGACGGCTAGGGGCACGACGTTGCTTTGCTTGGGGGGTCTCCCTAGCTCTCTACTCCTAAACCCGAAACTCTAAGCCCGAAGCTCTAAGCCCTAAACCCGAAACCCTAAACCCTGAATGAACCCCGTACTTTGGCTGAGGGCGCCGACAGGCGCCAGGATCGTCCCCTCGCTCCATCTTCGGCCCTCTGGGGCTTCCCCACCCGAACCCCAGAGAGTCCCTATGATCAGAGTCTAGGGTTTAGGGTTGGGGTTTAGTGGGTTTAGAGGGTTTAGAGGGTTTAGAGGGTTTAGAGGGTTTGTAATTGTAGGTTGTTTTGGGGTTTAGAGGGTTTATAGGGACAGGGTTTGTAGGGTTTGTGCTTATACGGGTTAGGGTGTAATTAGGTTTTGCAGGGTTTATGGGGCTTATAGGGTTTATGGGGCACATAGGGTTCAAAGGGCTTTAAAGGCATTGTAGGGGTTTATAGAGGCTTCTTACGATTTAGGGCTCATAGGGTTTATAGGCCCTTTAAGGGCAACCAAGTACAAACCTTCGAAAGCCACAGCGGAAGCTGCTGGGGCAAGGGCTCAGCCATCTGGTGCTCCATCCTCGAAGCTGGGGAAGCCCGAGTGCGCAGTTTAGGGTATGGGGCTTGGGGCTTGGGGCTTCGGGCTTCGCGTTTAGGGTTTACATTTAAGTTTTCTAAACAAAGGGCTCCCTGGAATCTGGGATCTGGGATCTGGGGCATAGCGGAGGTTTCGTATCTCTAGTCCATCTAGGGTTGATGACTGGCGTTTAGTAGGGAGTTTAGGAAGATTTTGCGCCTCGTTGTCCTATGAACAACCATTGACTTCCGTTGAGGGATCGCACATCACACCCTAGAAACCCCCTAAGCCCTAAACCCCAAAGCCTCCCAACACGTTTGGGGTTTGGGGTTTAGGGTTTAGGGTTTGAGGCTGTAGGGTTTAGGGCTTGGGCTTTCGGGTTCTCTGGATATAGACCCCCCTACCCCCCTCCCCCAGAACAAGGACGAGCATCCACATGAAGGGCGGCAAAACGAGCCGTCGGCCGAGGCCTTTTGAGCAGTTGAACTGACGGCTTTGAGGTGCACAGGGGTTCAACCCTGAGCACGCCAAGCACCTTACATACCCTAAACACCCGAAATGCCGCAACTACCCCAAACCCTAAACCCTAAACCCTAAACTCGAAACCCTAAACCCGAAACCCTGTTTTGTTTTCAATGTAGGGTGGGGGGGATCAGGGCCTTTGGGGGCTTCCGAGTCTTGCTCAGGTTCGAAAATCACCCAGAAGAGGGTGTCGGGTCCAGGCCCCCATAGACATGATCATAATACGTATGCATGTACATATATGCAGCCCCTAGGTACAATGTATATTGTTGTCTGTTTCAGGATGTTTAGGATTTGGGACAATTCCGGTTTAGGGCGTGGTTTTTTGTTTGTTTGGGGCGGTGGGGGAGGGGGTTGGGACCTCTAAGGAAACCGCCTGAACCTAAAACCCTCAACCGTACCAAAATCGTGTTCACAGAGAGCTCCCTGTTGAATTGAAGCTGCATTTCAACTGGCCAGCTTACATCGTCAAGCCCCGAGATGCCAGGTGCTTGTTCACGCTTGCAAGGCGCTTTCCTTTCGCATCCTGAAACCCCCCGAAACCCTACCACCCAAACTACTCAAACCCTAACCCTAAACCCTAAACCCTAAACCCTCGATCATCCTTATCAGGCCTCAACTTCCAAGAGCCCGGAGACATGCTACCTGCGGCGGCTAAGGCCACAGCCCTTCGCCACTGACAGGGCGTGGAGGAAGAAGACGACCTGCCATGGGGGGCTGACGGGGCGTTAAGAAGAAAAACGAAAACATGTCCGCCACCGCCTTTTGTAAGAGAAGGCCCCCTAAACCCTGAACCCTAAACTTCCAGCCCTATACCCTAAACCCAGAAACTATGGGCTGGGCTTTCAGGAGTACTCGCCTAATGCTGCGGCTGCTGTACCGGGGGGGGGGGGGGGGGGGGGGACAGCTTTTGGGGTCAAGGGTCTGGGGTTTAAGGTTTGGGATTCGGGTCTGTAGGGTCTCCAGGGTTTGGGATTTAAATTGAAACTTTACGGTGTAGAGTGTAGATTGAGTTCAGGGTTAAAGGGGTTTAGGGTTTAGGGTTTTCGGGTAGAGTGTAGGGTCAGTAGAACAGGTGATCAACCCGCCCCCCAGACAAGGGCACATGAAAAAACATGCTGACTACTTTGCAATCTCTTGCCCAAATTTAACCCTAGACCTCACAGGTACAGGGTTCTGGGTTGAGGGCTTAGATTAGTTGATCAGGTGTAGGAATGAGGGTGCCGTTAAAGGTTGCGGGGTTTGGGTGTTGAGGAGTAGAACAGGTGATCACCTAGCCCCCTCCCTCTCCAAGACAGGAAAATGTGAAAACACACACACACACAGTGTGACTTTGCATTCCTAACTTTAACCCTAAGGAAACCTAAACCCGGGCAAGAACCTGCCCTCAACTAGAAGCCCCGGTCCAAACAAGTTTGGCAGATCAAGATACCACTAAAGCATCACATAGAACCCTAAACCCTCGACCCTATTACGTGCCCACGTTCCCGACAAAAGTATTAGCGCGTGGGCCCAAAAGTCAAGCCCCTACACTCCTGTTCACCCCAGAAGTGAACCTTCAGTTGGTAGGAACCCTACAGCTTGTTTAGGTACCTTGGGCCACCACAAACCCTGGACCTTAAACCATAACCCTATAACCCGAAGCCAGCGGCTGTCTCGCCTGGTTGTTGAACTGCGACTGGCCTCAGTCTGCTGCTGGGCTACATTTCAGGGATTTTGGGGGTTTCGGGTTTTGGGGGTTCTTAGGGCTTTTTGTCAGGGGGGGGGGGGGGGGTTAGGGTTTAGGGTTTAGGGTTTAGGGTGTAGGAGGTTTAGGGTTGAGTATTGGGCTTGCAGCTTAGAGTCTAGGATTTTGGGGGGTTTAGGGTCTTGCTTGGGGCTCTGGGGAGCTCCTGTGTGGGCGTGTGTTGGGCATGACCTGGCACGTCTGGGCGAGAAACCTACGCAAGCGAGTGCGCGGAAAGTGTGGCGGCCAAGGAGAAGGCACCAAGTACTTGGAGATTGCACTCCACCTTCTTTGCTGGAAATGGGGCTTAGGGTTTATAGGGCTTTAGTGTTTGGGGTGAGGGCTCCGTCACTCATATCTGAAAAACCTCGTTTTGAAAGCCCCCCCCCCCCCAATAGCCAATTCCTTCAAACATGGGGTCCTAGGATTCAGGGGAGGTTTAGGGTGATAGGGCTTAGGGTTTGTTTCATGCAAGCTAACTCAACGCAGGGAAATCCTCTTGACCGAGCTTTGAGAAGCCGTACAAACCCAAGACGAGAGAGTATAATATGGGGGTCGGAATAATTACTCATAGTATTCCCTTATGGCCCCCTTAGAAGTATACTACTACAGCCCACCGAAACCCTGTCCCATATTAAAGCTATCCCAAGGGCACACCCAGCTTATGATTGAGTAGAACTCTTGGTTTGCAGGTGTCTCAGGTTGCAGCTATACCACGACCGACAGCGGCCAACACGACATTGCCTAACTCCCCCTCAACCCTAATCAAGCCCGAACCCGAGGGTGCGACCGGCAAATGACCTTGATCGCCAAAACCCGAACCCTCCAAACCCAAGGCCTCACCCCTAAATCCTTAAGCCGCCTCGTCCCCAAGACAGCAACCATAAATCTCCAAACCCTCAACCCAAACCCTCTAAACCCCAAGCCCTCATGCCTATAAAGCCCCTGCGCCCCCTAAGCCCTCCTCCTGCATGTGCCAAGCCGCAGTAGTGCGGATCGAAGTTGGTTGCGCAAGGATTGTACCTTTGGCTGTAGATGCTTTGAACCTGAAACCCTGAACCCCCAACAAGACCCTAAACAAAAACATTAAATCCTATTACCTTATTGATTACCATGAACCCTGAGCCCCTAGACCCTAAACCCCTAAACCCCACTACTTTGCGCATTACCTTGTAGGGTTCGGGGGTGAAGGGCTTTGGAATGACATGCCACCCCCCCAGAGTAGCCAAGAGGCGTGAATGTAAGCCATTCTACTGGACACTTCTTCAGGCCCTTGAAAGAGGGACATGTGCGTTCTATGTGTGTCGGGAGCGGGGTAGGGGGGGTGGTGACCCTAAACCCTAAACCCTAAACCAATGCTTTGACGTTACGCTAGGCAACCCCAGCACCCTAGTTTGGGCGCTTAGGATATGAGTTGTCGGGTTCATGGCTGGTTTGGGGTTTCAGGATTAGAGTTGAGGGTTCAGCTTTTAGGGCCTTCGGCTCTCAACCCTAAGTCTAGGATTCAAGGCTCAGGGGCCTACAGTTGAGGGTTCGCAGCGGTCAGGATTAGGGTCCTTGCTGTAACCACCCCAAGCCAAAACAGCTTCCCACACCCTCTAAATCTTAACCTGCTTCCAAAATGCAGCAAGTACCGCTGGCGTGGCGGCTTGGGGGCAGGGGCAGATGCCTCTGCGTGTGAGGGAGGGTCGGGCGGGGGAGGGAGGGGGGGGGGGGGGGGGGGATTCTGGGATTACATGTATACCATATGGTACATATATATATATGTATATACATACATACATATATATATGGTCACCCCCCCCCAATGGACCCACCGCGGGCCTTGATCTTTGCAAAAGTACCGCAAATACCGATAAAACCTATGCTGTCTGGTGATTTTCCGGTGACCGGATTTTTGACTGTATTCCTTAATTCACCCTCTCACACACGCACGGAGGGTTTTTCTTTCTGTTGGCTTTTGTTTATAATTTAAGATCTAGGCATTTAAACCTAAGCCTGCAAAAAAAAAACCTTAACCTTTAAACCCTGTAGGGTTAAGGTTTAAAGGTTAAGGGTTTAAGATTTAGGCATTTGAACCTATGCCGGTAATTAAAGCTAAGCCCTTAACCTTTAAATTCTATCGGGTTGAGATTTTTACAGGTTTAGGGTTTAAGATGTAGGCATTTAAACCTAAGCCTGCAACTAATTTTAAACCCTTAACCTTTAAACCCTGTAGGGTTAAAGTTTAGAGGCTTAGGGTTTAATATTTAGCCATTTAAACCTGTAGCCAAGCCCTTAACCTTTAAACCCTATAGGGTTAAGATTTTTAAAGGTTTAGGATATAAGATGTAGGCATTTAAACCTAATTAAGCCTGCAACTAATTTTAAACCCTTAACCTTTAAACCCTGTTGGGCTAAGGTTTAAAGGTTTCGGGCTTAAGATTTAGGCATTTAAACCTATTCCGGCAATTTACGCTAAGCCTCTAACCTTTAAACCCTATAGGGTTAAGATATTTAAAGGTTTAGGGTTTAAGTTTAAGGTTTAGGTATTTAGACCTATGCCGGCAGTTCATATTGAACCCTTAACCTTAAACCCCATAGGGATGAGATTTAAAGGTTTAGGATTCTTTACTTAGACATTTAAATCCAAGCTGACGATTCAACCTAAACCCTTAACCTTTAAACCCTATAGGGTGAAGGTTTAAAGTTTTAGGGTTTAAGATTCAGACATTTAAACCTAAGACAGCGATTAACACTAAGCCCTTAACCTTTAAACCCTATAGGGTTAAGGTTTAAAGGTTTGGGGTTTAAGATTCAGGCATTTAAAGCTAAGTATGTAATCAATTTGTCACCCTTAACACCTCTAAACTCTGTAGTGTGAAGGTTTAAAGGCTTAGGGTTTAAAAAAACCTAAGCCCCCTAAGCCCATAGAGTTTAAACCTTAAGGGTTTAAGGTTTACGCATCTATTCCTTAACCCTAAACCCTCTAGGGTCAGGACCCTAAAGCCCTCGGCAATCAAGCCTAAACCCTTGACCTTCAAACCCCATAGGATGAAGGTTTAAAGGTTTGGGGTTTAAGACTTAGGCATTTAAACCTAGAGGGCATTTAAGCCTTAATCCTAAACCCTTTAGGGTCAGAACCTTAGCACCCTATAGGGGTCTAGCACGTTCAAAGGCTTGAACCCTACAGGCGCTGAAGGTATACATGTCCTATCGGTTTTTAAACCATTACACCCTGTAAGAAGGTTTAGGGTCTTTTCGGGGTCTATCTCTAAATTTCTCACGGGGTTAACCCTGCAGGGTTTAAAGTTAAAGGTTTAGGGTTAAAGGTTAAGGCAATACCTATAGGATTAGAACCTTATAACCCTGTAGTGCATGAGGCTTAAACCCCTAAAACTTAACCATCTTTTTCTCGAGAAAACCAAAAAAACCAAAAAACCAAAAAAACCAAAAAAACCAAAAAAACCATCTTTTCCAAAACTATGGGGCTGGGGCCTCCAAAAGATGGTTTTTTTGGTTTTCTCGAGAAAAAGATGGTTTTTTTGGTTCGAAACCATCTTTTTCTCGAGAAAAAGATGGTTTTTGAGCAGCCGCTCTTCGAAAAACCATCTTTTTCTCGAGAAAAAGATGGTTTTTAGAGATCTTACCCTGGAAAAACCATCTTTTTCTCGAGAAAAAGATGGTTTCCGGAGGTCTTGTCCTGGTAAAACCATTTTTTTCTCGAGAAAAAGATGGTTTTTGGAGGTCTTCTCCTGGTAAAACCATCTTTTTCTCGAGAAAAAGATGGTTTTTCGAAGGATGGTTGCTCAAAACAATCTTTTTCTCGAGAAAAAGATGGTTTCGAACCAAAAAACCATCTTTTTCTCGAGAAAACCAAAAAAACCAAAAAAAACCAAAAAAAACCAAAAAAACCATCTTTTCCAAAACTATGGGGCTGGGGCCTTCAAGAGATGGTTTTTTTGGTTTTCTCGAGAAAAAGATGGTTTTTTTGGTTCGAAACCATCTTTTTCTCGAGAAAAAGATGGTTTTTGAGCAGCCGCTCTTCGAAAAACAATCTTTTTCTCGAGAAAAAGATGGTTTTTGGAGATCTTGTCCTGGAAAAACCATCTTTTTCTCGAGAAAAAGATGGTTTTTGGAGGTCTTGTCCTGGTAAAACCATCTTTTTCTCGAGAAAAAGATTGTTTTTGGAGGTCTTGTCCTGGTAAAACCATCTTTTTCTCGAGAAAAAGATGGTTTTTAGAAGAGCGGCTGCTCAAAAACCATCTTTTTCTCGAGAAAAAGATGGTTTCGAACCAAAAAACCATCTTTTTCTCGAGAAAACCAAAAAAACCATCTTTTGGAGGCCCCAGCCCCATAGTTTTGGAAAAGATGGTTTTTTTGGTTTTTTTGGTTTTTTTGGTTTTTTGGATTATTTTGGTTTGTTGGTTTTTGTTAGTTTCTTGTTTTGTTGTTTTTTGCCTTGATCTGGCTAGGACTCGGCTGCCATCCGCGGTGGGTCCATTGGGGGGGGGGGTGAGCTTATATATATATATATACACCTATACAAGAATTGGACTACATTACTAATTATAAAATTTGAGATTAAGAGTTTAAGGTTTTGGGGTTTGGGGGTTTATTTAATTTCTGTGGGGTCCAGTTCAGGGCTCTGGAATGGTTGTTGATGAGACATGTGTTGGCGCCTTCCTCTACATGTGCTTTGGGTTTAGGAACGGCTGAAGATTGTTCCGATCCCGAAGGGCCCATCGACCCATATAGTATATTCTTGGGCTTTAAAGCTGCTATGTAGGAACCCCTTTAAGGCCCAAGTATATACTAGATACAGGTACATGGACCCTTCAGGATATTCCTTCTAGAGAACCAACGAATAAAACCTAAGAACACTCGGTGACCGAAAAGTAGCCTCTACTCGCGTCAATCTTATCCCAAAACCCTGAATTATAGCCTAGGCCCTAACATTCTTTGTTTAACTAAACCCTCAACCCCAAAACCCCAATCCCTAACCCTACCCTTAACCCCTACAAACCCTCAATTTTACTTGAGAAGGTCTAAGCTGCTCGGCCTCACCGATCCCTGCAGGATCCGGTGGCATCAAGGCCTGACACCTCGGACTGTCCCCTACCGGCTGGCTGGGTGGGCTTAGGGTTTAGGGTTCAGGGGTTGGGGATTGGGGTTGGGGGTTGGGGGTTTGGGGTTTGGAGTTTGGCGCTTGGGGTTTAGGATTTAGGGTTCAGGCTTTCGGGTTTAGGCTTTAGGTTTAGGCTTAGGGTTTAGGGAGCATGATAGGCTCCAAAACCCACAACTCTGGGCACCAGATGTCGTTCTCCAGTGCTTGGGGGCGTCCGGGCATTTTGGGATGCTTGCAGACTCTCTGAGGCTTCGGAGGTTACTTGGAGTTTTTGGGGTTTGGCTTTGGGGGTTGAGGGCTCCTTAGGGGGTTTACTTTGGGGGTTTAGGGTCTTGCGTGTTAGTATCTAGTTAGGGTCCGGGAACTTTTACTTATGACGCCAATTATCACTGCACTTAGCCCCCTAAGGCCTCTAAGTAGGTTACAAGTAGACTTCAATTGGGGTGATAAGTACCCATGAACCTCCAAGTGCAGGAGCTGTTGGGGTTTGGGAGTCTTTGGGGGGTTTTGGGTGGTTTTGGGTTCGGGGAGTCTGGTATCTGGGGTTTAGGGGCTCGCACAAGTCGTGTGCCACCTTGCTTCCGCAGGTTTAGTGTCCAGCTCTATACTCCCCTTAGAACCCGAATTAAAATAATGTCTTTAATCTTCAGCTTCTGTTTTTAAATAAACAAAACAGAAGGGGAAGATAAAACAAAAAAATCCTAAGGGACGTTTCAATATCCCCCCTTCTGATTGATATAACCAGAATTGAAACTAAAAAAAACTTAGCAAGCTATAGCAACTGGGGCGCTGATAGAGGAGAAGATCGTCCGCCTTCGCAGCAGAAACCTTGCGAGATCGGAGACAGGCTCCAAGATCCCAAAACCCTAAACCCAAGACCCCAAAACCCTAAACCTAAAACCCTAAACCCCGAACACGTGAAACCCCTATACTCGGAGTCTTACCATCCCACAACCCTGAAGCTGGCGTCGCTTGGGTCGTTTTCGGCTGATTGTTGTTGGCGGGGTCTTGGGTTTAGGGGTTTAAGGTTCAGGGGTCAAGGTTGAGGAATTACGGCTCAGGGTTTGAGGCTTCAGCTTTGACAGCTTTGTGGTTTGAGGCGGGTCCAGCGCCTCGCGTGCACTGGCAACCACTTCTCCGCCCCCCGAATATGAAGTACTGGCTTTAGTATGACGGGGAAGGGCCTACTGTGTGTCCAAGGTTTCTGGACTTTGCCGACCCTAAACCCGAAACCCGAAACCCCAAACCCTAAACCCTAAGATGTTTTGGGGACCGGGGATACGAAGCCCTCTGTCGTTGAGTCACGTTGACCATTGACTCGCACTGGAACTCGGGGAAGTCTGCGGGGACGTAGTGCAGAAGCAGCACCAAGGAACCTGGGGGAGGGTTTAGGGTTTAGGGCTTAGGGTTTAGGGTTGAGGATTTTTGGTTTAGGGTTTTTTGGTTTAGGGTGTCGAGTTTAGGGTTTGGTGTTAGGGGACGAGGGCTTGCTTAAGGAAGCAACCCTGAACATACTAAGAATATTAAGCGCAAGGAGGATCACTATTCTTTGAGGGCTCTATACCAAAAGCCCTCCAAACCCTGAACCGTAACCTCAATTATTCCAGACCCTATATGCCCTATGCATGCTAAACCCTAAACCCCAAACCCCAAACCCCAAACCCTAAACCCTAAACCCTAGACCCTAGGAAACCCCTGTCTGCGGTCAAAGCAGCGCTCGCCCGCACCCAAGCAACAGGGGCGGCGGTGGAGGAACTCCCGGCCCCGAAAGACCAAGCCTTCCTGGAATGGAGTTTAGGGTTTAGGGTTTAGGGTTTAGGGTTTAGGGTTTAGGGTTTAGGGTTTAGGGTTTGCGGTTTAGGGTTTAGGGTTTAGGGTTTAGGGTTTTGGGCTTGGGGTTTTGGGTGTTTGGCTTAGGGTTAGGTACATTTGTTGGCTTCGAGTCCTACGCTAGCATACAACCCAGCGGTTCTTTGTGAATCCTAAACCCTACACCTAAACCCTAAACCCTAAGCCCGCATACTTGTATCCATGATTCTCTGTTCAAGGTTCAGTGCGGCTCGCGAGGCCCTGTCTTGGGCAGCGCGGAGAGTTAGTGGTTAGGGGCAGAGGGGCGGGGCACTCCAAAAACAGACAGATATGTATGCGCACATGCAACCTGAAAGATACTCTTCACAAACCCAGGTCCAAACTCATAGTGAACTATGTCTGTATGCGTGTGGTGGCAGCATGCATCGTTTACATGCTGTTCTTTCCGTGCTCGCTTTTAGGGTTTGGGGATCCTTGAAGAATGTTTTGGATGTCGCGGGTGTTAAGGTGGGCAGGTTTCGAGGGTGGAGTCTCACCGGGTGGGTGCTGAGGAGGGTGAGGACGGGATGGGCTGGTTCCGAAAGAAGGTGCAACGCGGTGTCGTTTAGGGTTTCAGGTTTAGGGTTAACGGTCGGGGACAATACCGGAAAAAGCCCTGCAGCCTCTGCTTCAACCCCAAACGAAAGCAGCTGGATCTGTCAACTCTTTCTTTTCAATCTCCTTTCCTTCCTTCTACATCGCACGCCCGGCCCTGAAAGCCTACCAGATACACCCTAAACCCTATACCCCACCCAAACCATACGATGCCGTAATTGCGGTGGACAAGGGCTTAGCGATTTAGGGTTTTGGGTGGGGGCTCAAGTAGCGAAGTATCCCAGTACCCATATATTTTTAAGGGTACCCTTTGGGTTGCTTACTTTGTAAGTGAACCCTGAACCAAAAAATGACAAAATGACACCACTGGGCTACCAAGCAGAAAACTTAAACCCAAAACCCGGAACCCAAAACCCTAAACCCTAAACGTGGGTGGGGACTCAAGTAGGGTTTAGCTAACTTGGTATCCCAGTAATCCATCTTATAATAAGGGCACCCTTTTGTTGGTTAATTTCTAAGGGAACCTTAAACCTCAAAAAAGGGAAAAGGGTACCACTGGGCTACCACTAGCCCTAAACCCTAAACCCTAAACCCCAAACCCTAAACCCGAAATCCTAAACCCTAAACCCGAAATCCGAAATCCTAAACCCTGCTAAGAAGACAGCCAGGTTTCTCCTATGGGCGCGAAGAGCTCAATTGTGTGATTCACCTGGGAAGGGATGGACGGAGCAGTCAGGAAGCCAAAACCTTACAACTTTACTCTGAACACCAAACACTAAACACTAAACCCTGAACCCTAAACCCCAAACCCTAAACCCTGAATAAGCCCTGAGCAACCTCAACCCTACAATTCTTCTGGCCTCACGCCTAAGCTCGATAAACCTAGACCCCAAGCCCCGCAAGCACCCCCCCCCCCCCTAAAGCTTTGAAAACACCTGCAGCTGGACCGAACAACTGCCTCCTCTATTGAAGCTTCTGGGGTTGTTTCATTCACCCTAAGCCCTAAAGCAAGCCTGACAAGGGCCCTAAAAGCAGAACTCCCTAAACTCAACAACCTACAACCGTCGACCCCTCGACCCTGAATCTTCAGGCTGATGATTACACTCAGCTGGCAGGGCTCTGGAGCCGCTTTCGTGCTTTCGCCACGAAAAAGCCACCAAAGCAACAGTTGCTTGCTTGTCTTGACTGAGCGGCTGAGCGTTTCCCACGAAGCCACTGAACAAGAAAACGCAAACGCTCTATGCAACAATCCCCAAACCCAACAATTTCTTGAGGTCATTGCTGAGTTGCCTGGCAAGGAAGAGTCGGGAGCTTCAAGAAATCCTAGAGTGCCCTTGATAGGGCTTCGTCTCTGTAAGGTCGTTTAGGTTGCGTATGCCCAAACTCTGTAAGCCCTGATGCATGCGACCAAAGAGTGGGCCCCTTATTCCCTCGCTTTAGGTTTTAGGCTCCCTGAAAGCCCCTTTAAACCAAAAAGTGCCCCTAACCCATAAACCCTAGAAGCCCTACATTACCCTAAGCCCGCCTAAGCCCTAAACCCTAAACGCTAAGCCCTATACCCTAAACCCTAAACCCAGGAGCCCCTTCAAACTGAGGACGCCGCCATGCCCCTCGACGTGGGTGGGCGAAGCAAGTGCAGCGGCCACGCGGCACCTCGCACAGGTGCCATCCCGGTTTAGGGTGTCTAGGGCCTGAACCCTAAGAACTAAACCCCTAAACCCCTAAACCCTAAACCCTAAATCCTAAACCCTAAGCCCTAAACCCCTAAACCCTAACGCAGGCTGGAAGCGGACTTGGGTTGAGGGTCTCCTACAGGTTCTTCGTATGGACTTTGAGAGCTAAGTTCTCCAGAGGGTCCATTTGTAGTACCATTGTGGAATTAGGTACCAAAAACCCTACCAAAAAAGGTTTTTTGGGTACCTAAATTCATAACTGTACTACAAAGAGACCCTCTAGGTCTGCAAAACAAGTCAAGAAGCCCTTGGCTCCAAACTGGATCCTCGAGTAGGAATAACCAATATAGGGGGTGTGCGTCCCTAAATTCGGGTGCCTTTTTCGGTTCCGAAGCAACAATTACCCCTAACGTCCCAAAAAAGGGGCCCTCCTTTAGTCCCCTGTGGTTTAGGGTCTCGTGTTCGGGTCAAAGTCCTGAAGTTAAGGGCTCAAGGTTGCGGAACACAGGTCAGGACGTAAAAGCAACACCAAACCGAACAGGTTTAGGGTTTAGGGTTTAGGAGGGTTTTGGGTTTAGGACTTAGGGTTTGCGGTTTAGGCCTGATTCTTGGTTCATAAACTCTGAGCACTATACGATATCAAGAAACAACGGCCCACAAGTCCTGAGCAACAATAGTGAATCAACAACCTTGGCGGATAGCTTCAGGACTCGTCCTACAAACTATAAACCCTATACCCTAGACCCCACATTTGGATTCCAACAAGCATGCTTGATGAGCTCGAAAAGATGGGAGTTAAGGTGTTAGGAGGCTTAGGGAACTTCATGTTGCATTCGTTTGGGGCTTAGGGTGAGGTTTAAGGTTTAAGGCTTTAAGGTTCAGGGTTTAGGGTTTAGGGTGGGATTTAGGGTTTAGGGTTTTAGAGTGGGGTTTAGGAATTGGGGGGGATTAGGGAACTTCAGTGGTGTACTTGCCAGCCAAGCAACTGTTGGCTCCACGCTCGGTGCTGTCAAGCCTGGACAAAGCTACGGTGTTTCGTCTAGTGAGCTTCGATATAGATTTAAGGCGTATAAGGATGGACCCCTAGAAGGGACCCTATAGTCCCTACATACCGAAGCAGCCCCTGAATAACCCCCAAATAACCCTTAAGGTCCCTTACAGGGGTCCGCCTTTAGTCCCTGAATAGATGTGAAAAGCCGTAAACGCCATATGTTGCTAAACCCTAAATCCTATAATCCTTATAAACCCTATGTGCCGAAACGCCCTGCAGACCCGTAAACCCCATAAACACTGTAAACCATACACCCTGAACCCTACGCAAACCATAATAAATCTCAACAGCAGTTGTGAACTCAAACCCTGCTAAGAGTTTGTACCAATGTACGGTGATTTCCACCAAACCCCAAAAACATACAAAACTAACGGCACTAAACCTTGACGAAGAAGCATGACTCCGGTCTCGTTTTTTTTGTTTTTTTTTGTCGTTTGGCCCTTTGCGCCCACTGAAAAATATTGCTACATGAAGATCCCGTTACAGCCAATACGGGAAATATGTTTCGGGGGGCCTCCCTTTGTTGGCTTCGAGAGGGGTCAAGACACAAGTCGCGCCCCTAAGCCCGAAACCCTAAACCCTGAACCCTAAATGCCCAAACCCTAAAGATAAAATTAGGAACCTAGGGAGGGTTGGGGTTCTGGTCTGCCCAATGTTCCTAGAAAGAACCAATTGCCAAGAACTAAGGGGTTTTCCTTAAATCAGAACAGGACTTTAGGGACTGTTCCTCAATCAAGGGATACTGGACCTTTTGGGAAGATAGTGGGCCCCCGGCACGAGGGTGATGGACACGTCGTTCAAGATCTGATCCCGATGCGGCGCCAGGTCCTTGGTAGAAAGGTGGAAGGCTTAAGCTGCAGAATACAGGTCTAGGGTTGAAAACTGAACAGCACATGAAGAAGTGCCACGACTAGTTTCATGGTTTGTTTCAGAAAATGGCCTCTCTAGCAATCCCTAAACCCTAAACCCTACACCGAAACCCTAAACCCGAAACCCAAACCCCTTGAACCCTAAATGACGAGAGTCGGCGCCCTCTTCATAGAGAGCCACCTGCCATCAGAAGGATGATTCCACTGGTGATTTCAGCTGTGTGCCAGGAATTTGAGGGCTCAGGGTGAAGGGGGGTTGGGCTTTGGAGTTTAGGGTCAAACCCAAAAACCCTAAACACAACCTCTACTTGAAGGTTCATGGGTACTCATAACCCCAATTGCAACTGTACTTGTGACCCAGTTGGAGGACTTGGGGTTTATAAGTACCCTGAACCTCCAGGCAAGCTTACTGGCTCTTAATGAGCAAATCAAGTAAGGAATTAGGCGCCAGGCATCCCCCTACTTCGCAGGCAAAACTGGCCCAAGCCCGCGAACTTGAAGCCAAGCGACTAGCCCATTCCGTTTTTGAAGAGCATGCCCAACACCCAGAGAATGACCCTGCTCTAGGATTAGCTGCAAGAACCCTAAAACATGGCAGGGAATTCTGAAGAATCTACAATTGCAGCTAGTTTCGGGAATACTTCAGCTTATCCGGGTGAATCCTGACACTTGTCCACTGCAGGTTACAAGCCTTTAGATTACAGAGGCAAAGGTTCAAGCCGGATACTTGCCCTAAGGCCGAAGCTCGAAATAAGCGTGAACTTCTCAAAGGGTCTTTGAGATCTTTTGTTTTGTAGGTCATTACTATACAAGGAAGCCCCCCCCCTAGCCATAAGTAGAGTTATAAGGATCCTAAATTGGGGTTTAAGGATCCTAACTTGGATTATAAGTCCCTCAACTATAGGTAGCATAATATACTTCTACTGTCTGCTTCAGAACCACCCCCCCCCCCCCCCCCAAGAAAAAAACAGAATCCCATTACCCTTATAAGGAATAATATCTATTCGTTCTTTTGGTTCTTAAGCAAATACTAGTATATGATTCTTAGGTAACCAGCAAAAAAATTGGCGGGGCTCTAACTAAGCTTGTTGGGCTTAGGGCTACGGTCAGTTGAAGGTTTAAGTTTCAGCTCAAGGTGGCTTGCGGTACCTTTTCTTCGTTGTGCCGGCGTGAAGATCATCAGAAAACTGAAGGAACTCTGAGCTTCAAACGTCAGAGTCTTATAGTCTGAATGCGCATGGAGTGCGTGGAAGATGACCTGGCCACGCTTGAACATCGGGCAACAAGCGCTCGATCTGAGATCGTGGCCACCGATGGCCCAAACATTGAAACCATAATGGCGTTCAAAGCATCCGAAGCCCAGCGCCTTACAAACCCGGTTTATAAACGTGCTGCCACGCCGCGATGTGCGAGTCGGGCACTTTGGTCTGCACCCCAACTATTGCACCATCAGAAGTACTTGTTCCACGGCCGCCTGAGCGCAGGTGCTGACTTCAGTGGGTTTCTAGGTCATCTCCTCTTTGGTCACATGTGCCAGTGCAGGCAGGCTTTAACGCCAGATTTTTGCTGCAGCGCTCAGCTCCGAAGCCTCCGACAACGCCCGGCCGCATCCGTGTCAGTCCTCAGACGGTATGAGCTTGGGGACCATGCTTTTGGGTGGGATCAGGGCCTGGCGCCTTCGACACGCCAGGGCTTGAAGCAGGGTCCTGAAAACTGGAACCCGTGAGACCTTGTAGTTGAATCTGCAAGCAAGGGCGGCCCCGAAATGAACGGTTCACTGTAAAATGGTGAGGAATCAAAGCGATGAGGTTCACATGTGGGCAGTTGAGGCACCTTCTGCACGGCCTTGCGACGTCAAGTCCCCTCCCACTTGGGGGGACTTGGAACAGGATTGGCGAGTTGCATTCCTTAAATGTTCGAGGGCGGAGGGCTTCCGATTCCATGCTGAGCGGAGGCGGAGACCGGACCATCCCCAACCCAACCGGCATCCTCGAACCCAGCCTGCAGCCATCCCCTCGAAATCTTCTTGGCGAGAGAAGATGCTGTGGGCCTCCCGAGCAAGCTGGGCGTCAATCAGACGCGGACGCCCACGCAAATGACCGGCAGACACAACTTATGAATGGGTCCAGCCGCGGCACAGCCCCGCCTCATGTAATTTGGTGGCCGCGCAGCCTTGGCAAGCCACAGGATTTGATTCGTACCATGATCTAGTAACTGCCTCTCAGAGCATGCTCATGTTGGGCTGGCTTTGGCTTTCCACCAGTAGGATGGTAAATTTCGCGAGCCAGGTTTCGGGAAGGTGAGTTCGACACCAATGGGCACTAACTCCTTACATAGGGGTTGGGGGTGCACACTTGCTTTTTTTGGGACGGAACAATCATATGAAGGCTCTGCGCGCCCACAGCGGCGACTTCCATGAGCCTCAGATTCCCGAAGAAGCTGGCCAGAAGCAAACCTTACCCCTCCAGCCTTGCCAGGGCTCACCTTAACTTCCAAGTTAAGCGCTTGCAGCGGGCTCACGCTCGTTTGCTCCGGTTGCACCCGCAGTTTGTGGTTGGAACCGAAACACAATAAATGACGGGAGGTTCGACACCCGGTGTTGAACTTAATAAGGGTTTCACCGACCTCAACACGTTTTTTCGGCTCGAACCCGACAAAAATGCACTTCGCACGGTTGCCGCGTGCGACAAGTTCCTAGAAATAAAGAACACCCAAATTAGCCACAGCAGCTCCGACACCCCGTGTGGGATTTAAAGGTTCTTCGCTGGCCTGTTAGCTTTTTTCGACTCGAAACATTTCATACCAGAAAAAACTGACCAATAGTGCATTTCACATGGTTGGCGCGCCCCAAAAGTTAATAGAAAAACGGCCCTACAAATTTAGCGACAATAGTTCCACCACACTGTGTTGAACTTCTGGGTTTTCGCTGGCATATATTGTGTTTTCGGTTCCAACCACAAACTGCGCGTGAGCCCGCTGCAAGCGCTTAACTTGGAACTTAAGGTCAGCCCTG